CCCTGCTGTGTGCATTGCCCTATTCCACAAGAAGGATTTCAGCAGGGTTGTCTGTATGTTAAGGAGTGGACAAAAATTTCATAAAGACACTTTCACGACAGCAATGGCTCAAGCAAGAAAGATGCGCGATTATTGTGAACTTAAGGTTAGTAATTAGCCTCATAGGCATCGTGAAGTTCGTTTATACCTTGCTTCGACATCCTTCTTTGCCTCGCTTGCTTGCCTCATTACCTTTCGTTATCTCAATATGCAGGGCGAATGTCGCAGACAAGCGTTGCTGGAACACTTTGGAGAATCATTTGACAGAAAAGCCTGCAAAATTAGCTCTAACCCGTGCGACAACTGTCTCAAGACACCCTCATGACACGTTAGCTGAGGCCGAAGTCATCTCATTTTCTTCGGGGCCTTACTTCCATCACGACTTACCGGTACGTGAATATGAAGAAAAATGGCTAATGGCAGACAAAGAACATATGTGCATGCTTTGCTATTGATTATTTAAACTGCAGAAAGCAAGACCCGAACTCATTCCTCTACTTATGGAGAGGTCTACTGTCTGAGGTAAGCCGAAACCTCCAACTTCCACTGGTAGCCCTTCGATAAGGAACCATTTTTCGTGCCAACAAACGATGGTAATGTCAATTCATAATTTGTGTACCCTCTGTTACTTTCTTCACAGGAAGGTTAAGCCAGTCTTGAGCGGGTCTTCCAACCTGGTGCTTTGCTCAACTTGAAGCTATCTCTGAAATGGTTGATGCAATGTTCATTTCTATCCAAACTGTCCTAGAATTGACTGCTCTCCCCTTCGACTTATCTTCAAGCAAGCTGGTATGGACATCTGCTGGTACTCTAATAGAAACTTGCTCAATTTCTTTACGAGTCAATTTGCTTTCCGTATTTAAGCGTAAAGCCAAATCTTTTCTTCTGTACCTCCAAACTTATTGTTCTCTGAGATCTATGGAGTGATTTAAGACTTCACACGAATCATTTCAGCAATCTCACATGCAATTTCTCATGATTGGTGTTTTTCATATTCCCCTGAATTGTGTGAAAGCTTGACATGTCAACAACCCAATATTTTATCATTTGTGTCAACATAACCAGCATCCTTTGAAGTAAGCAAAACATGCAATCAAAACCCCATATGCATTCCAGCTAGTAATCGTATTATAAAATCCCAAATAACTGTTCTTTAGTGAAGAGAAAAAGGCAAAGATTTTGTCATATTGGATCATTTTTTGTCACTTGCTTTCGTTTCATTTGTACTCTAGTACTCTACTCTTGGAGGATATCACCTAACTTCATTTTTTGTGTGTGAATGTGGGTACGAAACGCCAGATCCTCTGATCCCACAGGATCCTTGAAATTCACAGAATTCATAGAAATCATTTGGGGTTGTTTGTACGGATGGATTTAAGCAAATTTGATTCAGTTAATTAGTAATTATCTCATCTAATAATTGATGCATCCCTTCAAAATATTTGTGTCTTCTATCAATTCAAATTTATGCAAAACGAAACAATTCAAATGGTCTCGACTTGAATGATGCATCCTTGTTCTGTGTTCTGTGTTTCCTGTTGCTTCATTTTGATACAATTGAGCCAAAAAATTTCATCCAATTCAATTTTCAAAATGTTTTTTTTAGTCGATAATGTTCAAAATGTTCAATCATCCAAATGCAAATAATTAAATATGAATCTGAACCAAATGTCTGCAGTTGTCTGTTTACATTTGGCTTGGACTATGGGGTTGATTATTCAGATATAGCAGGTGAAAGATACAGATTCTGACAAACCAAAATTAGCAGGTAGTGCTAATTTGTTTCTTCCAAACATAATTTCCAAGACAGTACTGTGTTGGAATTTATTATTGTACTATATTGGCTGTGTATGGCATAAGATAACCCAATCTCCAATCAAACTTCACAAATTAGGGTTTTTTTTTATTATTCTCTTCTTCCCCCTCCCTATCCATTTCTGTAATGAATTTGTGTTTCTGTGGTCCAAGCAATGTCGACATACAAACAGTTGCTCTGAGGTAGTTGTTGGCATTTTAGCTGTTTCAAGGGATTCCACAATCCATTATATAATGTAGTTGAGTAGTGGATTCCAAGGCATAAATTCCGTTGGTTTTGATTGCTTATACAGCAAAATGAACGAAGTATTTTGTTGAAGTAGAAACCATTGATGGAGCAAGATAAACCCGTCTATGTAAATTGTTTTTCCAAGTTTACGAGATGAACCCTTCAATAATGGACATACAAATCACGAGCTACCACGAGAAAATTTGGATTAGTACACTTATGTACAACAAGATAGTTTGAATAGGTAACCTTTCAAACTCGTTTCGAGCTCTGAATCTCCAATTCATATAAGGCTTGGTAAACCAATTTTATAACCATGATTCCTACAATCTCTGACTGGTTTTCCTTTCTTGATAGTTCATTTTTACTAATTTATTTACATATTCTGGCAGTAAAAGCTGCTAGCCCACCCTAATATTTTACTCTAGTTGAGCTTTCCAAGTTGTGGTAAGTTGTAACTTGTACATAGGCAAGATGATAAAACCTTCAAGAATTTGAATTTTTCCTCCGGATAATTTATCGTTTTCGCGTGACATCCTTGCACAAAGGCTATGATAATTTTATCTGTATCGTTTAATTTTATTAGATATCCCCAAGGTTGTTAAACCTCTATCGAACTCTCGGTTGGACCCGGTCCGTCCCGAGTCGAGTTTCAAAATGGCCTTCGGATAGCCTCCCGGTCCGACCCCTAAAGAGGGAGAAGAAGATAGGGGGAAGAGACGAAGAGGAACGAAGGAAGAGAGATGGTGGGTGGGTTATGGAGGTTAGGTAGATTTATTTTGTGCAAAATGAGTTTTTAATAGATATATGTAAGATAAATTTTATTTCAGTCATTAATCTTTAATTACTACCTTATTTGTATATATATTTAGAAAATGTCTAAAACGACTCAAACCGATCGGACCCCGATCAGATCATTAAACCTCAAACCCCTTGCTTGACCGGCTCAATGACTTAAACCGCTTTGACAACCTTGATGTCCCCGAAATGATCCTCTTGATAATTTCGTGAACAAACCCCTGTCCTGTGAGCAAGAGTTTCAGTTCCCTAGAACCAAAACCCAATCCCACTCAAAACACAACCAGGATATGGTGCACCACTTGAATGTTGGAGAACGGTTCTCCATTCCATCCAACGGCCCACAAAAGTGTTCTTTTAAATTAAAGGCACAAATCTATTAGAGCAATAGATAGTGGATTATGGGACCCACGACCTGAAAAAGTAGCTTACATGTGGACCATTTATTTTTGACAAAATAAAACTTATACATACTATTTACAAGTGGTATATGTATATTCTTGTTGAACTAAAATCATATTTGTATCGAACAAAATACATATTTGTATTGAACAAAATACATATTTGTACTGAGCAAAAGTTATATTTGCACTGAAAAAATATACACATTAGAATATCATATTCATATTAAACAAAATATGATATTTGCATTGAATAGAAAACATATTCCATATATGTGATTTCTATATTCGTAATTTTCACAACTCTTATTCAAAATAATATACCACGCATTAAAAACCATATTCTTACTAAATATAAAACATATTGCTACTGATCACAAAACATATTTGTACAAAACAGAAATCATATTCAGCAGTTTCAAGAACTTGCAGTCTCTACTCTCTCTCTTGTGTCAACTCATTTTCAGTCCGTGGGCCCCGAAAAAGCAGTTTTTTCAGCTCCTTTTCCGTTGCTGACCTCACTCTCCACTACTACTTTTTACCAACAAATCTTGACCCTTAATTTAATGGCCCATTTTATAGACCATTGAATGTAATATGAAGAAACGTCCTCCAAAATTCAAAATCCAAGTGATGCAACATATCTAAATTCCTCGAAACGTAGCATTGTTGGGCCCACAGATGAAAGTTCACTTTTCTTATTTTTTCTTACCCGCTGGTCGCTATTGTCTATTTTCTTTTTTTCCATTTGCAGATTTGAGATTTCATAACACAGGAACTACGAGAGATGCAACACCGAGAGAAAGCCTCCTTCCTTCTCTGTCTCTCTCTCTTCCCTTACCTTCAGTCTTTTGACTCCTCGCTAGCTCTCTCTCTCTCTCTCTCTCTCTCCCTCTGGCATTGATAGCTTGACGGTGTCTCTCTCCTCCTCCCACAGATTTCATTAACTCGCAAACATATACATCCCTCTCCTCTCTCTGTTCGGCTGACACATTTAACCTCACTGATTCCTTTACCTAATTTTTTTTTGGACTCATTCCCTGTAGCAGTTTTTTTCCCTCACCCATCAGTTCTCCCTTTCTCATTTCAGTTTCCGGTCGTGTCACCCCATTTTTGGCCCTTTTCGTGTCCTCTCACGGGGGCCTCTCTGCTCTTCATTTAAGTTTTAAGTTTTAACAAGACTTCATGTCTTGGTAGCCATTTCGCCCCTGTTTTGGAACTTTGACAGTGTGTGTATGAGAGAGTAGGGAGGATTCTATTTCTCGCAGGTGAAACTTCCTCGCAGCGGGCTTAAAAGTCCGCGTCTTTGTGTGGTTTAAACGTTTTGGGTCGGGACTCGGATGATCCGCTCTTTGTACCACAAAGAGAAGAGCTGAGCTCTGGGAGTACCCACGTTACTTAGCAAATTTGGGGTAAGATTTCGGACTTCCATGGTAAATGATAATGGGTTAAAGCTTTGAACTCCCCCCACTCCAGTCAATGCATTTCTTGGCAACTGGAGATTTCCATGGAGTTGCATGTGGGGTTTGGTTTCTGGCGATTGGCAGCTTGAATTTGACTGATTTGCTCCTTTTTTTCCTCGTTGGGTGGGCAATGCTGATGCAGTTTCTTGCTTCTATGTCGCAAAGCCACAATCTTTTCTTCAAGTTTGGAGCTGAATTGAGATATGACGTTTTGCTGGCTATTGTGGTGAATAGATTCAGGTTGTATAGAAGAGAATGGAGGAGGAGAGGAAGCGTTCAAAAGGAGGGTTCTTTCATATGTTTGATTGGAATGGGAAGAAGTCCCGTAAGAAGCTCTTCCCAATCAGTCCAGAACTACCAAGTATATAGCTCTGTCCTCTCAATCTCGTGTCATGGTGCTTCTCTTCTGGTCATCTTTCTTTAAAGTGAAACTGAAGCTTATATCGCTTTTTATTACCGGTTCAGAAGGAACCAAAGCATGGAAAGAAAACGTTGATCGAGGAGCGAAGTTGCATCTTCATACTGTAAGTCTTTTTCTTTCTTTCTCACAATGGTGATGTTTAATTTTGAGAAAGCTTTGTAAAGTGGTCTCCTGTTGATGTTATTACCAGATAGAGTTTGAAGATAGAAGAGGAAATGCAAACACCAAAGCAAGTAGTAGTGACTTAAGTTGTGCTTCATCTGTAACTAGTGATGATACATATGGAACTAGACCTGCCAGTGTAGTTGCAAGACTCATGGGTTCAGATTCAATGCCTTCAACATTAGCTCTAACCGAACCTTCTTCTAATCAACAACTCCAACCCCGCCTAGTTAGATATTCACAGTACAATCCTATGGACTTGCTCAATGTCGCTGGTAGGATGGAAATGCATCATTGGAGGCAATCAACACAGCCAATTGAGAGATTTCAGACCGAAAATTTGCCACCAAGATCAGCTAAATCCATTCCACCCACCCATTACAAGCTCTTATCTCCAATTAGGTGTCCTGGATTCGTCTCGTCAAAGAACGTAGCTTACATTGCTGAGGCATCTGCCAAGATAATGGAGGCAAGTCCTAGGGCGGTGAATAATACCATTAGAGTGCCATCTATCGGTTCGCCTTCAGTTCCCATGAGAATCAGGGATTTGAAGCAGAAAATGGAAGCTGCACATAGGGTGTCTAGACCTGGAACTTCAAGTGCACCTGGAAAAAGTTTGAAGGCTCAGCATAGAGACAAGAGTAACACTGGATCGTCATCAGTGGGCTCATCTTCATTCAGAAGACCTCCAAAGGCTTCTCCTGAAATGGATAAAGGGAAATCAGTCCAACAAAGAGCAGGTGGTTCAACAACCAGAAGTAATAACAATAGAATCAAGCCAAAGGAGAAAAATGAGATTAAATCCCAGCCAAGCATGCAAACGAGTGTTCATAAGAAGCCCATTGAAAATAGGAGCAATGTGCTTAGACAGAACAACCAGAAGCAGAATAATAGTCTATCTGGAAGGACAACTTCAACCTCAAAGCAAGGGGATATAGCTATAACTCGGCTCTCGAGTGGTTCTTCAGGTTCAAGTAGGACTGTTAGTACGGTATCTATGAACTCTGAGAAGGAGAAGAGGAATACTTCACCTCATAAGAAACAGGCTATAAACGTTGATCCTCCATCAAACATAAGGGCATCTGCTAGTCGGCTATCTAATAAGGACTCGAGAGCCATTGAATGTAAAGTTGCAGTTGATGAAGAGCATGGTAAATGGGAAGAATAGTATGGATGTGGTTTCATTCACATTCACTTCTCCAATGATGAGGAACAACATTTCTAAGTCATCTTCATCCTCTGGTGGTTTGACAAGGAACAGTATTGGCTTGAATATGATTGGTGGTGATGAGTTGGGTGTTCTTCTGGAACGAAAGCTGAGAGAACTGACGGATAAAGTGGAGTCATCAACGGGGTTACTTAAGCCAGCACCATTGGTTAACGTAATGAGTGGTGCTACGTCCTCAGCAGCTAAACAAAAGGTTTATGAACTTAGCTTAGATAAAGTGGAGTTGCATAAGGCAGAAGGAGAGTGGTACTCTGAAGAGAACTTACCCTTGCATTCGCATCATGAGTGCAAGGTTTGTTTCTTGTTATGTTTTTCTGCATTTCCTCATTTCTCCCCACTGTCTGTCTATTTGCATGAAACCTATGAAGCTACCGTAACTCCTAAATACTTTATATATGTTGTTGCCTCATTGTCAGATCTAAGCAGTCTAGATATGAATTTTCTGGTTGTATCTTAACATCACCTGAGAAGAGCCATAAAGCATCCAATTCCATTTGTCAAACGTTGGAACGTTAACATATCGTTCACGTGGAATACATTTTGTTCACTGTTCATTTAGCTTACTCAAACTTTATGATACAGTATCAGCAATCAGAAGAAGCGGAAGAGCACAGCTGTATCAGCAGTTACATTGAAAGCGGGAAAGTACTTGAATATGAGCCTCCTAATTATACAGAGTGGATTCCAGACCAAACTTGTTCAGATTCTCAGAGTAAAGCTAACATTACACTTCCTTGAACGTTCCTTCTATTCTTTTCTATCTAGAGCGTAATATAGCACTATAACAATATGGTGTTCGCTTGTAAAGTCACGTTTGGTTCGGGTTTACGGGTTGGTAAAGAAATGGCCCTTTCTCTAGCTGAGTTATATGGTAACCTCAGTCTCCCTTCAGAACGTGTGATGAAACTGCTGTAAATATTTCAGGTAGTGATCAACAATGTTCATCCTCAGTTCAAGCTCCAACCACATTCAACTCAGCCTCAACTAACAGAACTCAGACTGACGAAGGACTCGAAATCGAGCTATCAGATTCTTCCACCTCATCAATCTCCATGATGTTAGCCAACCACCTTCCAAGCAACTGGGAACTCGACTATGTCATCCACATACTAGACACTGCAGAGATGAATCTCGAAGACCTTGCATTGAGTTGTAGCCCCTCCAAAATCCTATCCCCGAACCTCTTTGAACACAAGGAGAGTAAATTCGGTAGAGACAGTGACGAGCTCTCCTCGAAAATCAATAGGAAGGTCATGTTCGATTGCATTGGTGAGTTCTTGGACTACAAGTGCAGGCAAAGGTCCTGGGGTGAACTTCAAGGGGTGTTGCTTGAGAGAAAAGGGTGCTTGGCGAAGGAGTTGCATAAGGAGGTATTAGGGTGGAAGAGCATGGGAGACATGATGGTGGATGAGCTTGTGGACAGGGACATGAGCTGTGGGGATGGGAAGTGTGTCAACTTCAGTGTGGAAGCAATTGAGGAAGGTGTGGAGATTGAAGAAGGGATTCTTGGCGAGTTGGTTGATGAATTAGTTTGTGATCTTTTGATTATGTAGAGTTAGGAAAAGGCCAGTGGATTACTTGATCTCTCTCTCTCTCTCTCTTCTCATTTTGTTATGTTGTTATATATGGCCATAGTTCTTAAGTTAACAAGTTTCTAGTACAGGAAAGTTGGAGCTGCTAAGAAGCTGAAATGATAATTTTTGGGTTGGAGCATACCCTAAACACTGGGATGTGACTCTTTTGGCAACAGCGCATAATTACAATACAAAGAGATATGAGAGAGTAAATGACGCGTGCAAGGTTCATGCGTCGGGGTTTAGTGCTAAGGAAAGGAAAAGAAGGAAGGAAATTGAGTTTATTCTTATTCTTAGGGGTGTTCAAACGGTTTGGTTACCATGGTAACCTTTTTAACCGGTACTATTTGGATAATTTGGTTTGGTTAATTTGGATAATTGGTTTGGTTTGGTTAAAGTTTTTAGCTTGTTTGGTTTGGTTTGGTTTCAGACACTCCTAACCAGTCAAACCAAATTAACCAGTTAAGTAATTAGTCATATATCTAACATATATTATATACACATACTTAATACTTTGCATAATCACTCAAGATTTAACGTTCATCCCTTTTAGACTCATAAAATATAAAGCTCAATATTGCTCATATAGTGTATATTTGTATATGTAAAATGTAGACCACAACATATGGACGCCTAATTTAGATAAATTTCATACATTATGATGGATGAAAACTTGAAAGGAAGATCATTTCCAGCCTATGATAATTTCTAAGAGACTAAGTCATTTTACACAAACACAACAATTCATTAACCCATACCATTGTCATAAATTTTTGTTAGGTGAATACTTCTATACTAATCGTAAGATAATTGTCTTAGTTGCATGTATTTTTGTTAAGGGTCAACTATAATTACGTGTTGGTTGTTATATTTTATTCATTATATAAATTGCGAATTGTTGCATTAACCGGAAAATTTTCATCGTCAATGATAATGTGATTTTATATTGGTTAATCTGGTTAACCAATTAACCAAACCGATTAAACTTTAGTTTGGTTAATTTGGTTGTTGTATCAGTTTGGACGGTTTGGTTATGATATTGTATTCCATGGTTAATGGAATTTAGCCTTATTTGGTTTGGTTATAACCATGATAACCATTTGAACACCCCTACTTATTCTGCCCTCTCGAACGCCAACCCTAGCACTATTAATAGGCCAAGCCTACAATAACAAACTCTAAACCGACATAAAATATCCTTAACCGAAACAATAATCAAAGATTATCCCGACAATTAATAATGGAAACAATAGCCAGAATAGGTAAAGGGAAACCGAAATTCTTGTACGAATCATTCCTCCACCCTTCGAGCAACCTCGTCTCGAGGTTATTCTTCGCTGCAAACCCAACCACCTCCGCCTTCGCCGAAATCTCCGATCAAAGCGAACACCTGGTTGTTAGCACAACGGTGGTCGTAGGTGAAGCGCTCGTTGTAGTTCTAGCACAACCCATCGCGACGTCGACGGGCTGCTTCCTCGGGTATCTAGGTGCAAATGACCCTCCTCCGAGCCAGCATTGGTCCCCGATTTGGTGGTGCGGGACCGGGTGCCTGCACCAGAGCTGGCAGGGGAGCAGCCTCGTGAGGAGCCACCGCGGTTCCCCGTGTTGCCCCTCTCACAACTCCGTGCTTGATCCTGATCTACTCCTCGCGAATTTTTTTCCAAACGATACGCTTCCCTGGTGTTGTGTGGCTCAAATGCACGGATGTATGCTGAAATCTCCGGCTTGAGTCCTCCCATGTAAGTTCCCATTACCGCTTCCTTGCTCCACCCCGACAACGGTTCAACAATCTCTCGAAAGCCTGTTGGTAGTCCTCCACGCTCCCGGTCTGTCGAATTTTTGCAAGAGCCTCATGCCCGACAGCCTTCTCAGTTGACCCGTACCTTTTCCAAAACTCGGCACGGAAGTCCTCACACGTCATCTCCATCCCGCTTTGTGCGAACTCTTCCTTGATCCACACAAGCCATTGATTCGCGTCATCCTCCATGTGGAATGACGCGAGAGTCACCTTGTGTTTTTCCGGAATATCCTGGTATCGAAGGTACTTTTCAACCCGCGCCATCCAACCTGGCGGATCCTCCTGCCCGGTGAACTTAGGGAATTTCAGTGTCACCATTCGACCCCAGAACAGAGCAGCAGTCGCCTCGTCACTTGCCCGAACCTTCCCGAAGTCCCGATTCTCGAGCTCCCTCATGGTCGGACCATTCGGCTTGGTCCCGGATTGACCCTCCCATCTTCCAGACCCCAGCATCATCCTTGGCCACCTCCAGGGCTCGCCTGGTTCGGTCATCACAAGGTCCAGTCGGCTCTAGGGTCAGCCTGTCTCGTTGCCCTTCCCGGCGTCAGCCCGGAAACTTGCGTCCTTCGGTCCCGTCCATTCCTCCTTTTATCCCATGCCGCCGTCATCCCTGGTCTCGCATCACGGTCGTTCGTCTATCTTCAGGATCGACCTAGCGGGCTCGCCGTCTTCGTCATCGAAGGCTAGACTGCCCCACGGCATCCCCGATCGGACCTGGGGGCAAGGACGATGCCATTTCTCTCACCGGGATAATCTTAAACGAAACAATAATAAAAAATTATCCCGACAGTTAATAATGAAAACAATAGCCAAAATAGGAAAAGGGCAACCGAAATTATTGTACACATCAGTAAGATCCCATATAACAAAGCGAATATTACCACGATTGATTTCAGCGCCACCCAGAAGTGATACGCACAACTCCACAGAGAGGGAATGAAACGTAGGGTGACTCACTGGAGGAGGTTGAAGCTGAGAGGAGGTGTAGCCCCTAACTTTGAAATATAGGTAAATTATATGTAAAGATTGTTAAAATTTAAGACGAAAATAGTCGGTAGGACTTAAAACCACCCTCTTACTAGTTCTCTTCAATCTCGCTCAAACACTTATAATGTTGGTACTACACATGATTTGAAATTTAACCTATTTCTCTCATATTAACTTGAGTATCGAAGAGACTCGTAACATCAAAACCAACAAGACAATTTTTTGAAGTATTCACCATCCTAGATTTAAAACACTTCTTATTTTTTCTTCACCAAGCCAAAAATGTTAATTACAATAGATTACATGATATAAGACATAAGTAACTTACAAATTTGATTGGACTTAGTCAACCCACCACGTCACTACACAATTAGCCACGTCACTCCTCGGAAGGAAGGAGGAGGAGTTGTTCTTGACCGTTTATGGGATGGAAGGGAACAACGACGGGGTCGGTGAAACCAGCACCATCGCGTTGTTCGTTATGAAGACGTATCAGATGGTCAACGACCCATCAACTGACAGCCTCATCCCCTGGGGGGAAGCCAACAGCAGCTTCCTCGTCGTCTACCCTCTCAATTTCTCCCAACAAATCCTCCATGCTTACTTCAAGAACAACAACTCCAACTTCGTCTGCCAGCTCAACACCTACGTACGTGAATCACAAACCATCTAAATGAATACAATCGAATTGATGAATTTGTGTATGATGATTTTATTGATGGAAAGCTTGATTGTTACATGAGGCTAGTAAGCCTTTTATACATGAAAGAAAACAACAATAAATACTATCACATGGTTTCAGAAGATAAGAAAATTAAATTAGGATGACCCAACTTGAATCGAGGTAGTGTCGGTTGGAGTGGGAATTGATGAGCAAGTATGGTGGGTTGCAGCAATGGTATGGGTTCCACTACCTTCTTCTGCTGTGAACTTGAATGAGTTCCAACACTCCCCCTCAAGCGGAGACATGAATGACAAGAATGTCAAGCTTGAAAATGAGAGATGGTTGATATCTTGGACAAGGTTGATTTGGAGACTGCTGACTTCGTCTCTCCGAGCAACTTGATAGACAGATCGACACCTTTGACATTGTGATCGATCTGATGACTGAGTTGGTCGACCGGATGACTGAACCGATCAACTTATCTATGTTGATTCCCTATTCTCCCCCTCAACCTGGAGCATGAACACCGTGAATGCCCAGGTTGAAAGGTGATGAATAATTGGTCTTAGCCCAATAATAAACACCGAGGGGTCGATCTTTTCTAGGATCGCTTCTTCCATTTGAAGCGCCGAGGGGACGATCTCTTCTTGGATCGTACAACCGTCTAAAAAACGCCATGGGAACGATCTGATCGAGAGTGCCTCGTGAAGCTGAGGGGCCGATCTTTTCTTGGGTTGTATTTCCTTTTGAACGCCGAGGGGCCGATCTCTTCTTGGATCGGATAACCGTCTAAAATCGTCAAGGTGACAACCTGATCAGAGAAACCTCGCACAATGGTTTGACAATCATTGCATACATAAGCTCTCTTGATCTCCAACACTGACTATTGAAGGGACGATCAACACTTGGGTCGTATCTATCTTCACTGCCATGACATTGTTGGTGATGATTTGCTTTCTTACCTGCAAATGGAACTTGTCTTAACCTGAAAGTGGGACAAAAGAACCAATCATGACTAATCAACTCTGTTGATCTAGGGGACTAATTCGGATTGCCAAATACAAGGCAATATTCTGATTCTTAAAATTGGGCCAAAACTCAATGAAATGACCCAATTCCCCCTTTTTTTTTTTTTTTATAGGAAAAGCCTTGTTTGCTGGGCTCTGTAAATGGGTGAGCGGCCCAACTCATGGTAGTGAAAGAGGTTGGCCTCAATAGGGTTTTGGAAACCCTTCTTCCTATCTGCCGTTCCAAATTTTGGATGGGGATAACCATTCCGCTTCTTGTATTGCCGCCGCACCTCCTCAGTTCCCCTTTTTTTTTTTTTTTTTTTTAAATCATCACGACCAGTCTTATCGCAACGTGGGCTTTGGAGAGCGCCGACGGCAGTTGCGGGAGAGAGGCAGAGACTACGGTTGACGGTGGAGCTCGATCTGAGCGGGAGGCGACGATTCAACCGACTTCGACTCGGACGCCGTGTTTGACTCCCGACTCCTCTAATTTGGCCGACGATGATGGGCGGCGGAGATG